AGAAAAACGTCCAAAATCTGAAAATACACATGGAAGACACTCATTTAATTTTTTTTTTAAAACTAAGAATCAGGAAGGTCATAGGGACCAAGGTAGGGAATATCTGTGAGTGCCTGATACAAAAACAGGTTTCTCTGGAATTAAGGATTGAAAATAATATTTTATCAAATACCATCAACATGATCTTTAAAAATCACTTTAATGTTCAGATTTTTTTAACCACTATATAAGTTTCTATTAACAAAGCAAAAGATTCCAACACAAAGATTTTCACACTATACACATAAACACTTTGTAAATTAAGAACTAGATGTAAATCAAAACCCTAAAAATTATCTAAAGGTATCCAAACACTATTTGAAACATCAGACTTTTATTTTCACATTCATTTCTCAGATCTACTAGTAAAGCTCTTGTGGAATGAGTCTTCATATCAATGTAAGATTGTTCAATATGCCATTCCGTGTGAATAGAGCTTGTGAGACTAATTCTCAAAACCTCCTCAGGGGATGCTTTATTACAGCTCTAGTTACAATTTCCTGCTACTCAAACAGCAACGTACAGAAAACAGCTTATACAGTTAGAAAGAGAGAAGAGTGAGGATACAGAGGAGCGCTCCATTCTTTTGTTTGGGTGGCAGAAGATGCAAAAATAAAGGTTCAATGGAGCCATCTGCACCTATGCCCACCCATTCCAGCCCTGCGGAGCACTTTCACCCATCCGCTTCTCAAGTCTCTAGTCCCCGAGGTCGGCAGATCCCGCGGCTTTCCACGTCTTAAAGGATAGGCGGGGGAGGCTGTAAGCTCCGGGGTACAGACACAAAACGAGGGAGGACACAGAACCTTTGAGGGCAGAGGGACAAGGAGATGCATCCAGATGAGGAGGATGGGACGCGCCAGAGACCCGAAGGCTTGCAAATTCACCGGGATAAAAGCCCTGGGGGACAGACACAGGATGCTGCCTGTTTAGGGATGGGGAAAGACTGACGGACAATGCTCCACGAGGGAGCCGGGCACACTCGGAGACCCGGGAGGGTGCGAACTAGGTAGCTCTTAACACGGAGCCGAGAATGGGTTAAGACAGCCTCAAACATATCTACACCAAGAAGCTAAGACTCACGATTACTTCTCCGGCTGACGGTAAGGGTCGGGTGGACCCCGCAGGTCTGCAGTTCTGCCTCCGTCGCGATCGCCCCTGCCTCTCGCGCAGAGCGGGTGACCTCAGGTACTCTCCCCGCCCCACCCACCCGGCAGGCGCCCCTTCCCCGCCGGCCCGGGTGCACCCGCCGGGCGGAGGCTGATGGGGCCGAGGGTGCGCACTGGGGCCGCGGGAAGTGCTGCGTGAGCTGAAGGAGCCCGCGGCGAGGCTCAGACTGGGCGGGTGTCCCCCATCCCTCTCCGGCCGCCGCGCCGCCTCACTAGGGGGAGGGGAAGAGGGGGCGGTGGCTCTTGCCTCCGCCTCGCGGTCAAGTCCGGCTCATGCTCCAGCCTTGAGCGCGCGCGCAGCCCCGGCCGCCCTCCTCCCCTCCCCCGCCTCCGGCTCAGCAGTTAGCGCCCCTGCCGCCACCACCCCTGTCTCCGAGCCACCCGCCAGCAGTCCCACAGAGCCTGCAGCTCCAGCGAAAACCAGCAGGAACGGTAGCAGGTCGGCAACCGACCCGGAAGCTCTTACGCCGCAAACCGCGAGGCTGCAAGGGGTGTGAACCCGGAAGCGATTTCCTCGCCGCGATAGCGGCGGGGTGGAAAGCTAAGGCCTTTGAAGAGCTGGGAGCCAATAGTTTCGGGAGAGAATGAGGGGTCAATAGTGCTGAGGTGCTAGAAGAGGGAAGGACAATAAAGAGCCGTAGGAGAAGAGGTTCTTCGACTCCAGAGACCGGAGCCCTCGGGGTGCGGGGTGGGGAGCGCAGCGGAACCCTTTGGACGGCTTCTGGTGGCGGCCGAGGGTTTTTCTGTCACAGGAAGTTGGGTCGGGCCGCTGTGCCTGGCAGGAGGGAAGGAGGAATGAGAAAGCGGTGACTGCACCCTCCTCAGGTGACTGTCCCACCAGTGAGTTGAATGTAGCGGTCGGAGAGGCACTCGGCAGCCCACACGGGCGCCTCTCGGTTTCCTTCGGGGAAACAAGAGGAGCAAGATCCAGACTCCAGCGAGAGAACACAGAGGTGGGAGACTGAACCATTTCCACATCTGGTTACTCCAGGCAAGGAGTTTATTTATTTATTTATTTATTTACAAATAGTTACAGAGAAGCCAAAGCCACTTTTTGTGTGGAAACTCTTTGAGCAAAGAGGCTTGCACTTTTCCCGGTAGTGGACTTTGGATGGGTGGTGGCGGAGGAAAAAACCTCCCAGGCAGAGTGTTTACTTACTTTTGTCATTGCAGGGGAAAAAAAGTGATTCACAGCTTGTCAATTCTAACTCCTTCCCTCTACACCTTTCTTCACCTTTTAAGGTTTTTGGCTTTCTTTGCTTTTTCTCCATGGTCTTTTTAGCTTCACCAGAAGTCTTTTATCTAGCTGGCTTAACCCAGGATCTCAACCTCGTTCCTTTCCCACTCTCTTGGAGAGCCTGTATGTCTTTACAATTTCTGTTTGCAAACACTTGTCTAGCATACTAAAGGAATATTAACAAACCTGTTCTTGGGCACTAAATGGCAGTTGTACACCTCCCTTCCCCCAGTCACAGTGACAGCCAGAAATGCCCTATTTTCAAATGATACCAAGTGGGTACCACCTCCCAATTAAGAACCACTTCCACCACGTCGTTTATAAGGCCTCGTTACTTAAGCAGTATATTACCATTGATGCCTAAGCATTTTCCAGAATGGAGTGAACCGTATAACAAAATGCCACATATTTCCAGTACTTAGTCACTTGAACCCTTCTCTAAAATTCAGTCTAAACATATTGCAAACCGTAGTTATTCCTTTCTCTATTATTTTTAGCTTTTTTCGATTCATTTGTATGTGTTCCTGCCTTAGTAGTTTTATCTTCCTGTTAGTAGTTTTTGTTATTTTCTTGACTTAGTCTGTTTCCTTCTTTCATGTCACTGAAAGAATGTAGATTTCCAATAATCAAGTGTAAATATTTCTTGAAAATCAATTTTAAGAATCTTTTGGGGGCATGGTAACATTGGATGGTTTAAAAAACAAAATACTATAACCCTCATAGTTATATCTTTTTAAAATCACATTGATTTGCCTTTTGAAAGTTGAGAGTTCTGTGTTGTACTAAATATCTAGAGAAGTGATGACTATTAACAAATAAAGTACTTTGCTAGTATGTTTTCTTAACATGAATTGACCAAGACAGGAACTGATTTCCTTTAAATTGTGTTTAGAAGACTAAGAATCACTTGATTTCTCTTTTAGGTGCTTAATAAAAAAATGACTTCTATAATTGTGCCATGTATAGTATACAGTGTATTCACAATACAGTGTCTTTCTTTTTGAGATTTCAATCTTTAAGGATGCATTCATACATCTCATAATTTGCCAAGTTTTATTATCTTGAAATCATTGTTAATCTGAGGTGAAAAGTAATTGCTAAATAGAAATTCTGAGAAGAAAAAGGTCTCATCCTTTTCACATGGGTGTAGAAAGGGTGTTGCATGAAGTGGATTTTAGGAATGATCTTATGAAAAAAAATTCTATGAGGTATAGAATGGGAATAAATGATACGTCCTCAAAACTTTTCACAAAATGAAATGTCTCTATCCTAATGTTTTACTGTAGTTTCTCCAGTGAAATATCTGTAGTTTTTTGGACCTAAATCAATGAAAAATTTTAGAATTTAAAATAAATTTTAAAAATTATGTAAATTATTTTATTTAAAATAAAATTTTTATATAACAATTTTAATGGTTATTTTAATCTTAGGCTAAAGTATATGTAAAATGCCAAAAGTTACTGGATTTTAAAAGAATTTCCTTTAAAAGTAATTTTACAATCATAAAAGACAATTTTTAATTATTATTTAGGGATGCAAACTGAAGGTTCCAAAGTGACATTTTCAATTGCAGTTGAGAAAACAAAATAAATTACTCTATCTCCTCTCAAATAACATTCAAAACCTTTTCTTAAAAATGGTCTTTCTTACTCAATCATAAGAAACGACAGTGATCTGGCACCTCTTATACTTTCCTGAATTAAACTTAGGCCCATTATCCAAAGTGAGGCACCACAAGAGCAGAAGAACGGGATCCATTTGTATTCGCCATCAAATTGGTACTAACTGATCAACACTAGGGTGATCACATAACAGAAATACTCTCTAGGGATTAGGGGGATGTTGGGGGCAAATCTATAACTAAAGGACACAGGGAGCACTAAAGGGAGTGAAGGGCATGCCTTTAACCCGCATTTGGGTGAGGCAAAGACATAAAGTGTAACTATAATGTTTGTACCCTCACAATACCCTGGAATAATAATAAAAAAAAAATCTGTCTTGAGATTTGCAGCAGTAAGGAACCTATTAAATATGAACAGATCATTTTAATGCCTAATGGCTATTAAAACACTGAAGAAACTTCATCTCAACGTGGCCAGGGAAGAAACTCTTTGTTTGATGTTCTTTTAGAAATTTACTGGCATGAATATGAGAGGAATCTTTTTTTAAAAAAAGATAGATGAAAGATATTAAATACAAAGAGATGTGTTTCAGTCTAACCATGAAAAATTAATAACTTAATAAAGAGAACTGTTAAATAGCCAAGCATGGTTGAAATTCAGTCACTTGTTGGAAATTGCCCAATGGAGACGTAAAATTGGGGGGAAAAAGTATATATGTGCACATACACAGAGTGAATATATTTGGGAAAAAACTGTAGATTATCTAGGAAATTGATAAGGAAAACGGAAAAGATTCTTAAATCATCATCAGAAAGCTTTTATCGACTGACCAAATGGTTTTGGCTCTGTGATAGGCAACTCCAAAGAAAATTATAAACTATATTTTAGCTCATCCAAATGTCTAATCTCAAAGTTGAACTTGCTAAAGATTCTGGAGTGAAAGTCGATGGATATAAAACAGCTACCTATTTCCAGCTTCCAAACTGTTAACATTTGCTTGTGGAATTTATGGAAAAATGTAAGTGTGTATTATTCTGAATAACTATTTCAAGTCATTGTTTGCTTTGCAAGATATTTTATAATCATGTCACTTTTTTAGGTCCCAAAGGCAGATTCTTACTATATAGTATAACACCTATGAAAATGTATATCCCTATTTTTAAAAATGTTATCTTTAACAGAAAGGAAAAGAACTATAAGGAAATCTTAAATTATAAGCTAAGGTTTCGAGTAGTTCAGTGGTGAAGATAAAGTCATCTCTGGCTTGTGTTTTAGGTACTATATATTCTAAGATAGAAATTTCATTTTTTAAATTGTTTTTCAAAGTGATTGTGTGGAAATAAAAGTTACCAAGTTAGGATGCAATACTGTATTTTTTAACTTGCCACCGGTTGTCATTTCATCTTTCAGGGACTTTTTGTTTGTTTGTTTTATAAAGCAATGGGAAACCCAGAAAACGTAGAAGATGTGTATGTTGCTGTTATTCGTCCAAAGAATACTGCTAGTCTCAATTCTCGGGAATACAGAGCTAAGTCATATGAAGTAAGAAAATTTAATTATATTTTATTTCTACCATTGACTGTCATTCTATATTATCATTTACATATAAAGCCTTAGTATGTCTTGCAAATTTTTATTGACAAGCTAATTTTCTAGATCTCTACCCATTACTGTTTCTTTTTTCTGCTGCATGCCTTTTTACCATTTGTTGTTCATTGACATGGTAGGTTATCAGAGGTTAAAAGTTACTTGTTTGTATTTTCCTTACAATATATAGGTTTCAATTCTAGTACAATTTATGGAATGGCTCTCAAAAATTAAAAAACCACTACAAATGTCAGTTCACTTTAAATTTCAATCTAAACATTGTTCTTCGTTACTTTCCCAAATAACTATTTTTAACAATTCATTTCAAAATATCTTTCACCTAAAATTAAGTTTTAGGCAATTAAATTACTTCTCTGTAGTCTTAAATTGTATTACAAATATTAATATACATGTAATTGAGGCAAAATTGTATATATAACAAATTATTATCTTTTCTATGCAACAGATTCCAGGCAGTATGGAATACTTCTAATAAAATATAACTATTTAGCATTTTGTTTAAACGGATCTTTTTAAGGTTATCAAAAACCTGTTAAAGGGCACCACTGGGTTCCTAAGAGGCTGCTGCTTCAACAGTGCTCTGGTTTATCATTTCTCAATCCTGGCTGCACTGTAGAATCACTTGGAGAACTTTTAAAACTGCAAGAACCTGGACTACAGGCCCCAGACATTCTCATTTAATAGATGTGAGATGGGGCTCGGCATTGGTATTGTTTTAAAGTTTTGCAAGTTATTCTAAAACGCAGCTAGAGTTGAGAAAGACTGCTAGCTTATTGCAGTGTTCTAGAGCAAGTAAATTTTATTTTAAACTTTCTCTTTGTCATTTTCCTCATCTAAGATTTTGTTGCATGACGTTCCCATTGAAGGACAGAAAAAAAAGAGAAAGAAAGTTTTGTTGGAAACTAAACTTCAAGGCAACAGTGAAATAACACAAGGCATATTGGATTATGTAGTAGAAACCACCAAACCAATTTCTCCCGCAAACCAGGGTATCAGAGGTAGGAAACTTTTCTTTCTTTCTCTCTCTTTTTTTTTTAAACACAGTTTGCTTTAAATTCTTACAGAAAAAGATATTTTTAAAAATACATTAAAACAATTTCTTTTTATATTCCTTTACATTTAAAAAACTTGCAAAAGACTCAGAAGGTTTTTTTTTAAGGTACAGCCAAGCCCCTGTAAGGTATAAATTGACTATAATTTTTTAAAAGTTAAAAAGTATTTGAAGAAGTTATGGTGCTAGTGATTAAATAGAGAAGAAATGAGGGGGTGGTTTGAAAACTAAAAGAGAGTACGAATTATTTTTGTTAGAAGTATGGTTTCCTACATAAGTATCTTTGAACTACTATTATTATTTCTCTACTTCAGGACAGAGGAAACTATAAACATCTCTCCATAAGGTAGAGGTAAGAGTTAACATTCATGGATTAGAGAAAGTCCTATAAATTACCGGGTAGCAGAGGTTTTCTTCCTATTTGGTTATAGGAAGAAGACCCTTTTCAAAGAGCCAAACTGAACTGTAGAAATTTTAACTCTGAGAGGTCAAGTCCCCCACTTAAGATATTTAATCACTTTGAAAGTGATTAAAAATTAATAATCAGTTTTCTCAGGCTGTAGGACATAGCAGTCAAAAGTTACAGAAAGTATAAACTATGTCCAAGATTTATGCACTATAATTTAAAAGGTAAGACTAATTCAGTCAAAGAGCAGTTGAAAACGGTTATTGGTGTGGAAAATAGTACCTCTTTGTGCCTGCTTTTTTGGTTTTTCAAAGCATATTCAGAGCATTTTTTTCTTTATATAGAGATCAGTTGTCCATTTCATCTGTTTCAGTAAAGCAACTGTTTTTGTTGCAGAGATACAGCCGAATCCTGTGGTTTTATTTATTATTTTGCATATTTGTTCTCTAGAGATATATAACTGAACTGTAAGCCTGTGTTTCATAACTTTTGGGGGTACCATTCACTATATTTTAGCTCCCCAATAGGTTACTTCCCTCTGTAGGGCCTGAAGGGTTTTTGTGAGTTGGGATGGTAAGCATTGTAACTCAGGATTATAGAAGTTCCTGCATAAATTTACAGATCTTTGATATACATTCTGAGTATCACAAAGAGAATCCCTTTCCCTAATTATCAGATTCACTTTTTAATAAAATGATTAGGAAACCAATCTTAGCTAAAAAAAAATAAATGGGGGAGGGGGATTGGGAGAACTGTCCTGTTGTGTAATCGGGACACGCAGAAGACTTTTTGGATGGCACAAATTTCCAGTCTTTCCTACCTCAGTCTTGGACTTCTCTGATAAATTTTCATCCAAACTTATTCCACTGTTGCCAAATTGTTACAGTTATCTATCCTGAGGCCAAATCTCTGAGTCAGAAATCTGATTAGCACTCATCACATATTTGAGCTGAAATAGACAAGTCATAATTTGCTGTGAATTAACCAAGCTCTGCCACTAGGTCCGTTCACCCAGAGGGGATATGGAAGAGGTGTCGGTGTTAACAAAATTGTCCCCTGGCATAAAGGGCTGGGTAGTTTCCCTTAGGAGTAGTAATGAGTGAACAGGAACCCTGAAATATGTCTAGCGCAATTTTGTCCTGTACACTTAGATAGTAAACTTTACTAATACATTTTCAGGCAGCTTTTAATAAGATAAATTAAAATAGAGAAGTTTTGCTTAATATATTAATGAGCCATACCTATTTAATTGAGTTTTTCTAAAACTATGAAATATTTTTATAATAATATGATTCCTTACATAAATATCATGTGAAAATCACAAATGACTATAGTAGCAGTAGTTATGCTTCACATTTTCGTACAGTGCTAAATATGGTTTACAAAGCACTATCACACTTACTTATTCATGAAATTTTTGAATTGGTCCTGTGAGTTGGTATGTGGTCATTTTCACATCTGTAAAATGGAAATGCAGACACAGGTTGTCACCTGCTAAGAACATATTGCCATTAGTAGAGGAATTAGGACTGGAACCCTCATCTCCCAATGTGTAGTCAGTGCTTTTTTTTTTTTTTTTGTTCTACAACATATCTCATAGTTACATATATAATTTTCAAAGTAGGCACTTAAACAATGGATCAGCACTGAATTTGGAGAAACAGCGAGGCAAGAAAGATTAAGTGGGGATAAGACGTCAAGCTAGATAAAGGGAATCATGCCTCTGAAATTTATTAGAATGTTATTCCGTATCTGACATTTAAATTTTATACAAGTGTCCATTTTGTAAAATAGTTGAGGGCTGTAATATAATAGGCCTTAATAATCACAAATAGTGATTCTAATATTTTGTGAATAAATGGAGCTATTTGAAATCTTTTGTTATCTACCTGTCCACAGAAGGCATCCTACCTGCCAGCTAGGCATTCCTACCTGGGTTAGGAACAAGTTTCTGTTTCTTGGAATGAGGAGATTGGAAAGATTGATAAATATCATGGCAAATGTTTCTAGAGGATGAGAGGTTTTAGAAGACTTGTAGGCTGTTATTGATAGCCCCCTTATTGCCAATTCAGGACAAACAGACTAAAAATGGTGGTTACAACTTAGAACAATAGTTTATAGCCCAATCAGATTTTAATAAAAACTGAAATTAAGGATGCAAGTTGCATGTTAAATGAAGAGCCACTAAACATTAAGACTTAAAAACTTAACACATACCAGAGTGTAGTAAATACATTCAGAATGTAATAAAATTTTTACCATCTATATCCCAGCTAAGTGAGGAAATGTATGCCTTCTCTTCCTTCCAGTGAGTCAAGACCAGGACCTAAATCTACAAGTTGATTGTCCACAGAATGATTTTGCATTATTATCAGTTTTTATTAGTGCATACAATAAAATAGACTGTTTAAATATTTCAGTTCCTCTTTATGCTGCCTTTTAAAATATCTGTTTTCTAAATCTCAAGGTAATTTATAAAATTTAAAAGCCTATTTATTTTTATCTTTGCTGACTTTTTAAAAAATGATTAGGAAAACGAGTGGTACTAATGAAAAAATTTCCTCTGGATGGAGAGAAGATGGGCAGAGAAGCAGCATTATTTATTGTTCCATCAGTTGTCAAAGGTAAAGTCTAAATTTATCTTAAATCTTTATGTACTTTAGGTGCTAAGTCAAAGTCTATAGAAAAACTTAGGAATTTGCATTCGTAGTTACTGCTATAGTAATGTAAAATACATGTTTTTTTGTTTTGTTTTTTTTTGAGACAGAGTCTCACTCTGTTGCCCAGGCTAGAGTGCCATAGTGTCAGCCTAGCTCACAGCAACCTCAAACTCCGGGGCTGAAGGGATCCTTCTGCCTCAGCCTCCTGAGTAGCTGGGACTACAGTCATGCGCCACCATGCCTGGCTAATTTTTTCTATATTTTTAGTTGTCCAGCTAATTTCTTTCTATTTTTTTAGTAGAGATGGGGTTTTGCTCTTGCTCGGGCTGGTCTCGAACTCCTGAGCTCAAACGATCTGCCTGCCTCGGCCTCTCAGAGTGCTAGGATTACAGGCGTGAGCCAATGTGCCCGGCCTTAAAATACATGTTTTAGGATTAATAGAAGAAGGGAAATTTGTTACTAAAAAAGTTTTGATTTCAGAGTAATAATATACAAGGTTCTTGGTTGAGCAGTAATCTTTGTTTCAGTTTTAAAAGTAAGATGAAGAAGTAAGGAGGGAAGGCATGATTGAAATTAAAAGTGCTCAGGTTACAATAAGGGATATTTTTCAAAGGATATGCTATAGATAGAATAGAAATTGATATTTAAGTATTCTGGAAAATTAACAGATTATGATTAGAACCTGTCTTGTATTTGGGACAAGAATGGGTCAGTATTAGTTCTAAAATACTCTGCCCAATAGTATTGGTAATATTCAAAGAATGTAAATCTAATGTGAAAATTTAATTTGAGCCTTTGACATCCTAGAATAATAAAAAACATATTGAGTTTCAGTGCAGACCTTGCAGCCCACCAATTTTTTGACCTTGGGCAAATCTCCTGTTTAATCTTTAGCTCTTTATTTGTAAAATACATACAATAATGTCACCTGTCCCCTCTTGGTTCATAGTGCTGGAAAAATTTGATGAGGTATTAGATACGAAATCACTTTGGAAACTATAAAGTACTGGTGTCATGTAAGATAGTAATAATACTGATGATACACTATATTAATGACCCACCATGGACATGCCATCAGCCTGCTGCTGCGTAGTACTTACACATGCTTTACTAGTCAGCCCTAGCATTCCAAATATATTTTCCCAGTCATACTTAGATTTAAAAGTTCAGTATTTTAAATGTTGTTGGAAATTTTTAAATAAGTTTTACATTCTTGAGAAAGAGAAAACAATTTTTGTAGTCTTCCAAGATTCTGAATGCTTCATTCCCCCAAGTGGACAAGGTCACAGAACTAGCCATCACTTGAATCCAGGCCTTCTAATTCCAAATCTAGAATAATTTATATTATACTTAACAAGTTTTAATTTTTTTAACATTGTATATTTTTAAATGGAAAACGTATAGGCGTAAACCTTTTGTATGATGGCATAATTCTTCCTTTTTCTTTTTCAGATAATACTAAATATACTTATACTCCAGGATGCCCGATTTTTTACTGCTTACAAGATATTATGCGAGTCTGTAGTGAATCCAGTACTCACTTTGCTACACTCACAGCAAGGATGTTAATAGCCTTGGATAAGTAAGAAATGCCATTACACATATTTTTTAATTAATCAAATATATGTTTATAGTAGAAATTAGTTCTGATAGACATAGACACTTTTGGAAAAAAAAATAATACATGTATTAAGAAATGGTAAGTTTTTAAATTATAATTTAAAAATGAAAAACCCCAAAGACAGGATTGTCCTGGTTTGTTTACAGCATATATTTTATTCTTCAGAAATGACAAACACCACCCTGGCTTAATAATTAAGATTGCCTTATTACAAAACTAAATTTAGTATTGTTACTCTTGTCAGTGGAAAAGTCATGTAACCTCTTATGCCTTTGTCTTTCTGTAATAATAGGGCTGACCACCTACATCTCAGTGGTTTAAATATTTAAAGTACTTCATGTTTTTTGAAAGGAGTTTTTATTATAATGACATATATATTTTTAAAAATTGTTTGCTATGTCCATTAACAAAATTTTTATTAATAATAAAGTACTTGTACACCAATTTGATCTTTATAAATTACGTGAATGTATTAAATTATTACATGTACCACGAAACTACATTATGCATCAATTTAAAAAATTGTTAAAAATTTAAAAATTGATTTGCAATATAAAAAATAAAAATAAATAATAAATGAAGAATTTAACTAACACTGATTAAAGTTATAAAAATCTGAAGGTAATATTAGAAGGTATCATGTATCAGAGATGGATAGTCTACCTTTTTTACATTCACTTTTGGAGCAGGTACTTCTATTATACTACCTCTTTTTAATTTTATTTTGCCAGGTGGTTAGATGAACGTCATGCACAGTCTTACTTTATTCCAGCTTTATTCCGACCTTCTCCTCTTGAGCGGATAAAAACTAATGTCATAAACCCTGCATATGCTACTGAATCAGGTCAGACAGAAAACTCACTACATATGGGCTATAGTGCACTAGAAATAAAGAGTAAAATGTTAGCCCTAGAAAAAGCAGATACCTGTATTTACAACCCTTTGTTTGGATCAGATCTTCAATATACAAACCGGGTAAGAGATGAATGAATTTTGGCTCTAGTTTAAAAGACATTTTATCTCAAGTTTAATTTTTTTCCTGAGATAAATACATCTATTACTAGTTGTAAACATTAAGATGACAAAGCTCTTAAGGGGTTTTTGTTGCTGTTTTCCCTTTCTAGGTAGATAAAGTGGTAATAAATCCATACTTTGGTCTAGGAGCTCCAGACTATTCAAAAATCCAAATTCCAAAACAGGAAAAATGGCAGAGAAGCATGAGCAGTGTCACGGAAGACAAGTACTATTTTGGTTTTACTCCACATTGCTTTTTTTAAAACTTACATACTAATGTTAAAGTATTGTTTAAAATTATATATGCAATTAGTATTGCATCTGTTCAGTGATATACAGCTTTCATAGATGTGTCACATTTATTTTGAAACCATTTGAATTTTAACAATACTCTTTCTGTTTTTTAAAAATTTCTTTTTAATGATTAGGGAACGACAGTGGGTAGATGATTTTCCTCTCCACCGAAGTGCCTGTGAAGGAGATTCAGAATTACTAAGCCGTCTTCTCAATGAAAAATTTTCAGTCAACCAGTTAGATAGTGACCACTGGGCGCCCATTCATTATGCGTGCTGGTAAATGGCTTACTTATTTTTTTCTTTTCAGAAAGAATAAATTCTTAGTTATAAATGTTAGTGCTTCTTTTCAAAACTGTTCTCATTTTGGACACTTTTTTTCTGTCATGTTTGCTTTATGAGCCTTCTGTTTTGATTTTTCATTACTCGATATGTGCCAATGTTCAGAATTGCAAGGTCTGCCTCATGAGAAAAGTACTATCAGTGTTCTTAGGCATTGCCCGGCCTAGGATAGTTAATGACTAGTCAATGTCATTGCAGAGCGTAAGGTCCCTTATTCACCCTTGCAGTTTCTTTTGTTTTGTATTGAGGTTATGTTATGTTAGTTTATCCTTACTGTAAAATTTGCCTGTGTTAACTACTAATGATTTGACCTTGAATCATGTTAGGAAAGTATTCTTTTAGTTCTTAGGGAAGCTGTGGTATCAAGAAGCCTCCAAAAGCCTTCATTAGAATTACAGGCTTCCATTTTTTTTTAGATGTGAGAGTTGGGACAGGATTGGGGTTAGCTCTTTCTACTAGTTCCCCAATGTAGCTCTTGCTCTGTTACTCTTCTCACGTAAATTTCTCCCTCAGCTGGGCTAAATTAGTGTTCAGAGTGGCAGTTAACTATTTGCTTAGCCCATCCTCTAGAAAGGACATAATGAAGTTTTTTACCATTGTTTCTATGGGAAAGTTGCTTTTGACTTATTGTTTAAAGTGAACTTCCTTGGCTAATATAAGAAGTACCACATTATTTACTGCTGGCAAAATGTCCTCAGTGCCTTAGCTGTGTCACATTGAGCAAGGTACTTCTCTGCATCTCAGTTTATTTATCTGTATGTAAAATGCAATAATTGGATGATTTCTAGAGTTCTTTCCAACTCAAAATCTTTTGATTGCTGTGATTCTAATATTTGTGATCAAGTAGCTAAATATAGTTGCTTTTTATATATATTTTTTTTCTGTTTCCTTAAAAATACGTACTTTTATTCAACAAATATGCTGTTATATTTCCCATTACAGGGAATTTTTATATTCATATTTAGAAAGAGTTACCCTAAATTGTCTTTAACTGAACTAATAGTTGTTTCTTCAGATTATCAGTAAATACTAGTAGCAGAAACAATACTAAAGAAATCACATGCTTTACCATGTGCTAACGAAAAGAACTAAACAAAAAGAAGTAGAGAATATAGCTCAAATCCCAAGAAAGTATACTATAGAATTGGGAAAGACAAAGGCAGTAAATTTTTTAGTTTAAGAATCCCAAATTTATATTTGACTATATTGTTGTCCTTTTTTGTGGCGGGGGTTATTTTCTTCTCTAATAAAAGAATGATGTTTTCAACTACCTATTACATAAAAACGAAAGTATGGTATAGCATATAATGTGCTTTGGAATGTACCTAGGTTTCAGTTCCAACTGTTAGTTCCTGAAAGGATGACCTTTGTCAATGACCTTTGTCAAAGTATGGCAAGTTACTTAATGTCTCTAAGGGTCTATTTCCTTATATACAAGATAGTCTTACAAATGGTACCTTCTCTAAGATTAAAAGACAAGATACAAATAGGGTACTTTGAGAGCACATAAGCTCTCAATAAATGTTGGCTTTTATGAGTAAGTATTGTAAAAATGCGAAGATCTTGATGCCTTCATCTAAAATTCATTAATTTGTAATATTTTTAATAGCCAATTTTTGTTACTTGAGTATACCAAGGAAAAAAATTTTATCCGTTGATAAAATTAATTTTCTGTCAGTTGGAAATAATCAAGTTTAATACAACAGGAGTAGTATGGGTCATCTTGCAATACTTTTAATCAGGTGCATCATTTGCTTGATGGGAATTTGAATAAAGAATGATTTAACTATTTCGCAAAGAGCTTAAATTACTTTATCTTGGAAATGTATTCTTTTTCATTAATTGGTACGAGGATTTAGGAGAGGACACTGGGCTGTTGCACTCAGGAAACTGGAGTTTGGTCCTATCTTACAAGGTTAGACAAGATGTTTTACCCTTCTGGGTCTGTTTTCTCATCTTTAAAATGGGAGTTTTGATTAGATCAATGGTTCTTAAACTTTGTGATCTCAGTACCCCCTTTTACTCTTAATAGTTATTAATACAAGATCCCAAAGAGCTTAAAAAGAACACTAAACATGTATATTAACATAACATAATTATATGAAAAGACACCATATTTTCTAAAATAAAATTAATGAGAAGAATGACATTGTTTTACATTCATACAAATGTCTAGCTTAATAGAAGATAGCTGGTTTCTCACATCTGCTTCTGCCTTCCGTCTGTTGCAATATCACATCACATAGCTTTTAGAAAACACTACACTTACAAGAAAGTGAGAGTGAAAAGAATAAATAATATCTTAGTATTATTTTGAAAATATGTTTAATTGGAGGAAACCCTAAAAAAGTGTCAAGGCTCTTCATGAGTTTCTGGATCACTTTTTGAGGACTATTGAATTAGATCACTCCTAGGATTTCTCTAAGTTTTTAACATTTCCAATTTGGTAACCAGACACCTAAAAACTATACTTTCTAGAATCACCATTTTCCTAAACTATTTAAGTTGGTTTTTACCCCACATGGAAAACTTGTCAGCCACTCAGAAAATGTCTCACTGACATCCCATATTCTCTCACCTCTTTATCTTTCCTGTTCCCCTATGCTAGTCCCTCTATTTTGAATCAAATCAGTGTCTTCTTTCTCTGATAGTACTTTTAGGCTTCGATCATTACTAGAGAGTGTTTTTAAAACTGTGATGATTTGGCTCCCTACAAATTATTCTCTCTGATTACATTTGGGCCTTCACTATAGCTTAGTTGTCTATACTTTTTTTATTTTACTCATTCTGTCAGCCTGTTAGTCCTACCCTACAAGCTATTCTACACCTTTCAACTCATAAATATGTAAATTTCCATTACTTTATTTTTCTACTTTCATAACCCCCTCTACTGTCTTTACCCCGTATTTTCAAAAAAAATCGAAGTCATCAGAAATGTCCTTTTCCATTGCTAATTAATTTTTGTTCCCATCTCTCTCCTGTATCATAGGGTGTATATGTAAAAATCCTTCCTGTTCCCCATTAAATTCACTCTTTCCTTTTCCACACTTTCTTTCTTCTTGTCTTTATACATGCATGGTTCTCTCCCTCCTTGAAAGGAATCTTAATTTGAACCTGCTGCTTCCTCTAGCTACTATCCTGTTTCCTTCCTTTCATAGCTAAACTTCAAAGGTGAGTGGGCTACAATCTGCCTTCTCTTTTTAACTCTTCATAAATCTTCTTAACCTTTTCTGAGTTTTTAATCTCTTTCCCTGCTCTGCAGCACTTAATACTATTGATCACCCTTGGAGTTGAAAGGTCTTAATGGAGTTATAATGAAGGTCAGTGCAAATGCAAGATACTATTGTTACCTTATCATTATTATTATTGAAATACTGGCCTCCATCCTGTGATCCAAGCATGTGGCATAGTGTGGAAGCTATTGTACTAAGATTCACAAAACCAGATTCTAATTCTGGCTAGTAACAGTGAGACCTAGGGCAAGTTACTTAAACTGGGTCAAGCTACATTTTTCTCATCTGTGCAATAAAAATACCTCTGCCCACCTCATAGGTTACTGTGAAGATTATATTAAGTAATTATATAAGAAAGTACCTGGGGCTGGGTACAGTGGCTCACACCTGTAATCGCAGCACTTTGTGAGACTGAGACAGGAGGATCACTTGAGGCCAGGAGTTCAAGACTAGCCTGTGCAACATAGCAAGACCTCATCTCTACAAAAAATAGAAAAATGAGCTGGACATGGTGGTGCACATCTGTAGTCCTAGCTACTTGGGAGGCTGAACCAGGAGGATTGCTTGAGCCTGAGAGTTTGAGGTTGCGGTGAGCTGTGATCATACCACTGCATTCTAGTGTGGATGATAGAGTTAAACTCTGTCTCTTTAAAAAAAAAAAAAGTACCTGGAAATTTTCTTTTCTTTTTTTTTTTCCCTTTTTTCTTAAACTGAGTGGTAAGAATATCTGGGAAACTTTAAATCATCACACAAAATGAATGTTTGTATTAACTGTACTTTTTTACTTCTTGAATTGCTCCCCCACTATCTTTTCTTTTTTTTTTTTTTTTGAGACAAGAGTCTCACTGTGTTGCCCGGGCTAGAGTGCCGTGGCATCAGCCTACCTCACAGCAACCTCAAACTCCTGGGCTCAAGCAATCCTTCTGCCTCAGCCTCCCGAGTAGCTGGGACTACAGGTATGTGCCACCATGCCCGGCTAATTTTTTTTTTTTTTTATGTATTTTTTAGTTGTCCAATTAATTTCTTTCTATTTTTAGTAGAGACGGGGGTCTCGCTCTTGCTCAGGCTGGTTTCGAACTCCTGAGCTCAAACAAGCCCGCCTCAGCCTCCCAGAGAGCTAGGATTACAGGCGTGAGCCACCGCACCCGGCCACTATCTTTTCTTGAAAGGGTGTTTTTCAAGATGGATTTCATTGTTCTAAGATGATCATCTTTCTCTAAATTCTGTTACAGAAAGATTTCATCCATTCTCCCAGCCTTAACAGTAATACTTTCGGTTAGATGATTTTATGTATTCTCAGATAGATATTCTAAGCTTTTGCCTTTCACCTAAGTACCAATCCTTCATTTTCAGTTGCCTGTTAAACAGTTTAGTCATTTATCTTCTGTGCATAAGGCACTTTGGAGGATGTAGAAGACACCGTCCCTACCCTTCAGGAACTTGCAGGCCGATAGAGAAGAGATGTACATAAACAAGGATGAAATTAGGCAAAAAATGAAATAAGTCTTAAAGAAGAAACAAAAATAAAATATTAAAACATAGTAGAAATATAGAGGAGGTAGATCTTAAACTGTTTCAGAGGCATGTGGAATTTAACCTGAACAAAATGAGCAAAGAACATGAGTCAAAAATCACCTAAATAAAAGGGGGTAGGATGCAAATGGGTGGTTTGGGATATAGGAAAACCATAGTATACGTAAAGGGAAAGAGAGGAAAATTTGAGGGCAAATCAGATCTGTTCTAAAGATGTGCTGTTTTCCCCTCAGTGCACCATATCTAAAACCAAGTTTCCCTCCTTATTTCCAGACAATGAATTACTTTCCACTGTTTCTTCAGATTGCGGGCTTACCTAAGTCTTTGGCTCTTAACCACATGGTTGACTCACTATGTCTGACACACGCTTTTTACTCTTCTGAGACCTTGCTTTGCTCACTCCTTTTCCCTCTACCTAAAATATTTTACCTCTGTTCAACATCTCTTCAGTTCTTTCCTATTTAAAAATCCAGTTTGAATTGTTCTTTTATCAAAACACTTTTCAGGACTATCCTAGAGTCACTTCTCTCTCTTCTGATATTTTTTAAAGCATGAATTATGTGCTATTTTGATTTCACAAATATGAAGTATCTTATTTTGTTATTGTTATCCTAAACCATTACAGTACTTTAATTTTACATTGTTATGTAACTTATCTCATGTTTATATTTTGCCTCTCTGATTACAGTGTAAACCTTTCAGAGCAGAGACCATGTATCTCATATATCTTTGTGTCTCCCACTTTGTCTGATATACAATATATATATACACATAGCAGTATGTCTTTGGGCCTGTTTTGTAAATTATAGACCTAAGTGAAAAACATTCTTACTAACTTTCTTATGAGTTACTTTCTGATTATGAACCTGGTTTTGAGTAAAAATTGTATCTCTTTAATTTATAACTTTTCTACTTTATGTGATGTGTTTCTCTGTCATCTTCTCTGTCTAGATTTTTTTTTTTATTTCAGCATATTATGGGGGTACAGATGTTTAGGTTATGTATGTTGCCCTTGCCCCCCATCCCTCCTTCTCTATCTAGATTTGAGATTATATTTTCTTCCACTTGATCAGAAATAGAAACAGTTGAATTTGATGAGAATAACTCATAAGAAGTCCCTAATCACTGAAAGCATCTATGTGGATGTCTTAATAATCCCTTGCTTTCTGTCCTAGAAAAATCTTAGATTTCTTTGAGATAGCATCCAGATTTTGGATTTTTTAAAATATTTCAGATGACTTTTTTGGGTAAGTTTTATTGTTTTTTTTAATAGGTATGGAAAAGTCGAGGCTACTCGCATATTGTTAGAGAAAGGAAAGTGCAATCCAAACCTTTTAAATGGACAACTTAGTTCTCCACTTCATTTTGCTGCTGGAGGAGGACATGCTGAAATAGTACAGATTCTTCTAAACCATCCAGAAGTTGACAGAGTAAGTATTTTCCAGGGTTTTTTTTTTTTTAATGTTCAAGCAGTGAATAATAAGTAATGCTATTTTAATGACACTAAAATGTTCAATTGTACATTTGACAGGTCAGCTGAAAAATAAAAATAAATTCAATTGCCTTACAGAATAAGTAATATGTAAGAGTTGTACTTTTGAACATAAATTTTAAAAAAAAATCTTGTAGTAAAATATACCTCACACAAAAATTACCATTTTAACCATTTGTAGATGTACAGTTCATTGGCATTAAGTAAATTCACATTATTGTGCAACCATCACCACTATCCATCTCCAGAAGGTACATAAAATTTAACTTCCTTTCATTTTACATTCTTTTTTTTTTTTTAAGACTAGTCAAGTGCAGTAGTGAGGAGGGGGGATCATTTCATATTCTATTTCCCCAAAAATATCTTGAAAAAGGAAAAAGTTTTCCACCCATTTTCTAGAATTTGTAGTAAAAAGTATTTCATAAAAGGAAATAATAGTATTAATACCATTGCTATATCTATATCAGAACTTTTAAAAAACAATCTCATTATTGCTTTGAGTAGTTTATCTTTGGCAATTTTTGTTTATTTTAAGTATAGTATGTACTAAGTATGGTTAACACTTGACAAGAGTCTATTTTTCATGAAACTTTGATTAGTTGAATGACATCTTTCCCTTAGAATACCATATATTTGTAATGCCTTTTTTCCTCCCTCGCCGCCTCCTACTTCTAGCATATAACAGATCAACAAGGAAGATCTCCATTAAACATTTGTGAAGAAAACAAACAAAATAATTGGGAAGAAGCTGCAAAATTGTTGAAGGAAGCCATTAACAAGCCAGTAAGAATTATCTTCATAAATTGTTAGAGCCAAGCATAATATTTACATTCATAGGTAATTTAAGGATCAATGGTAAGATTGGAAAGATGAATGAATGGCTGACTCCTTTACTGCTATAAACTTCATTGTTAGATTTCATAGATATTAAACTTGTTATCATCCCTCATAGTCAGATACCTATTCGTGCGTAATAAAATAAAACTTGCAAAAATAAATCAATAAAACTTCCAAAACACTTAAAATTAATCTAATTTCCAGTTGCATGATCTCTATATTCGATGTGCTAATTACACACAATTTTAATCTATTCATTGGAGCATTTCCCTCTCCTGAGGCCTTTTAGGCAACATTTTATATTTTTAGGTGAAAGTATTGCACATTATTCCTTAATTTGCTCTCAGCAAGTTAATTTTTGTATAACAGACTCATTTTCCTCCTCACAAAAATAAAATAGGTGATTTCCTAACTCTTCTATTCTGCTAATCCAACTAGCCTTTTCATCTAATTATGCCTGAAATAAACTCACAAATCTAATGCTGGGCACACATAGCTGTTAAAAGGATATCGTATTAGAAAGAGCAAAGTTTAATTTATAATTAGCCATGACATTAAGATAGAAAAGAATTAACAATTAGAAGAAGCTCAGTTATGCCTAAAAGTTATAGTGATGATAAAACTAACATTAATTTAATTTTTTCTTTTTTGAGACAAGGTCTCACTGTGTTGCCCAGGCTGAAGTGCAGTGGCTATTCACAGGTGCTGTCGTAGTGTACCGTAGCCTGGAACACCTGCTCAAGTGATCTTCCCACTCCAGCCTCCCAAGGAGCTGGAATAATAGGCATGTGACACCACTCCCAGCTGTGATTAATCTAAAAACTGTTTGAAAACTTGGAAACCAGATCAAAAGATCTATACCAACAGATAAGGGATAAAAGACTTTATACCAACACATACAGCCCATATACCTAAGCCTTTCCTGGCTTTAACCATCAATTAGACAATAAGTATTTGTTGAGTTGCTCTGAATTTAATATCATAAGATGCTGAAAGCGATAAGGAACATATATGATCTCTGCCTTTAAGGAATATTGCACACATACCACACACTCATACACACTTTGTCAAAACACTATTCCAAGAGCAGGAAACAGAGTCAAGGAAATAGATAAAGTAGTACAGGCATCCGTATGTTATACTTCATTTCAATTTATTTTCTAATGTATAGTTTTAACGCATTTTTATCCCTGGCATAATTTTTATCTTGTGAATGCATAAGATAAGAGGAATCGGGTACTTTTAATCAAAATGAACTGGCCTGGAAGTTACTTGGAGGCATCATTTGCTTCTGATAACAATAAAAATCTATTAAGAATGACACTAGTCTCTAGGATTTTCTGAATTGGAGGAAGGGAACTGGCCCAAAGTTCATTGTTTGGTAACTTCTCTGCAAAGTCTTCATTACAAATTCCTCTTAGGACAAGTTATTGCTGGTGCATATTTCTATAGTATGATTTGTGACCCACTAGACTCATGAAGTACTTAACTAATGCTGGTCCTCTCCTATGATATTCACATTGTACATGAAAGGCTCTAAAACATCCTTTCAGAAGAATTTGAAATTTAGTATTTTTTAAAAAACCATTTTCTTGAGTTTCCCAAACTCATTTGACTGTGAACCATCCAGAGGAAGAAAACTTAAATAGTGGAGTAAAATGTTTTTAATATTGCCAACAGAATCTCACTTGAAGCAGTTTTTCTGATATTTTACAAGTCAGAAATCTATAATAAAGCATATGAAATTGATCTTGTTGGACTCTGATATGTAATTTTTAAGCAGGTTGCATAATTTATTGTCATTCCTTTCCTAGTATGAAAAGGTTCGAATATACAGAATGGATGGATCATACCGTTCTGTTGAATTGAAGCATGGAAATAATACCACAGTGCAGCAGATAATGGAAGGAATGCGTCTTTCTCAAGAAACACAGCAATATTTCACTATTTGGATTTGTTCAGAAAACCTCAGTAAGAAAGTTTTTATTCTGTTGTGTGACCCTCACTATTCCTTTTTGGGAGTGGGTTAGTAAACGTACGTATAGCATATGTTTATTCCTGACTTTTAAATTTTGAAATAATACAATGTTCTTCTCTTTCATATAAATTATTAGTGTTCAAACTGCTGAAACAGGTAAGCCCCTGGGCCGCCATTCCTTCCTTCATTCAAAGCATTTTTTAAGTAGTAAAAACCAACATTTTTCTTCTCTGGCAATGGCGTTTGATTTGAGTACCATTAAATGTTCTGCTCATACAACTTGGCTTTATTTTCAGTGCTCACCTCAAAATAATACAGGTGTTCTTTTTTCTTAGTTTTCTATTTAAAATCAACATTTTTATATAAAATCAGCATAATGCCATAATAGACTTGTCCCTCAAAGTATTGCAAATGCATAAAGAACTTAATTGATTGATGTAACTGGTTATTTAATTGTTTAATTGTATCTTTTTAACACAAAATTCTACTTATTATGTCATCAAAAATAGGCTATAATGGAATTAAGGATTTTATATACATTTTCTTTAAGAATTTTCTTGTAATTCTTGTGTTCTTAAAAACAAGCAGTAAACTACAAATTGGGTAGTAATACTGATTAAAATAAATATTTAGTTAAATTTAGACCTTTAATTTGTGAATATTAAGCACTTAAGTGCAGATAGTTTAATACAAAGTTTCTATGTATTGATATAATTGATTTTTTTATATTATCATTTATAAAAGAAAAGATGTTTTTTAGGCCTTCAACTCAAACCATATCATAAACCCTTGCAACATGTTCGTGACTGGCCAGAAATACTTGCTGAATTGACTAATTTGGATCCCCAAAGGGAAACACCCCAGCTTTTCCTGAGAAGAGATGTGAGACTTCCTTTGGAAGTTGAAAAAAAGGTTTGCTTGGAAATCTTATTTACAGTTATTTAAATACACAGAACCTATTGCGTTTCTATTGTAGGCACTAGAGGCAGAAATTGTAATGTTTCTATACCAGGAGGTTTTACCTGTTTTTCTGTTCAATCCTCACATCCCTGTTGAGTGGTAGAGTTTCAGTTAGTCTACTTACAAAGCCCTTGGTTGGTTTTTTTAATTTCCACTCCCATTGTCTTAAGAATACAGAAGAAATAGGGAAGTTATTCTAAAGAAAATTAGCGATTAGATGGGGGAGAAAATTATACAGAAAAAATATTTTTTTTAGAATAGTTAGAAAGAAAGTACAATGTCAAGGATAAACTTAATAAAGGGCTAATTAGTTGTGTAAATTTCAAAGGAAGAAAGAGATACATTATGTGGGATAGAGCAGAAAAAACATTCTGGGTAGAGAAGATGATATTTGCAAAGGGGACATATGAAAAATATTCTCAGCACTCAGTAGGTAACTGTTCTTGACTCAAGCAGAGAACTTTATAGATAGTAAAAAATGAGAATAAAATTTACATTTGATAAGAAGGTCTGTTCCAGAAAAGTATGTTTGGATTTGAACTACTATAAATTTTAGGGCAGAGGTGAGATAATGCCATAGGAAGGATGAACAGACAAGGGAGAAATCTAAAGGAGAGATTATAACAACTTAAATGAGGTATGATAATCTAACACAATGGTAGCTGTGAAAATTGAAAAAAAAAAAAAAATTGTTCCAAGGTCTCACCACATTGATGAAGAAAAAATTACAATGCATTTCATGATTATTTATCCAGGAGACTATTAAACATAGGCAAATTTCAGCACATGAAAATTTCAACAGCCGTGTCCAAATTTCATAAATGTTTTATATATAACTGTTCATTATCCCTATTATCAAGCTAAAGAAAGATTTAGTCTTCTCAGCCAAAGATACCAGGATTTACATAAATATTTGTGTGAATTTACCAAAAAGTAAGGTCTTGATTATTTGTTAAAAATAGAATCACATTAACAGAATGAAGTGGGGAGAGAACCCACGTGATAATCTCAATTGATACAGAAAAGTCATTTGACAAAATCCAACACTCATTTATGAGAAAAGAAAAAAAAAAATACTCTCAGAAACTAGAATTAGGTGGGAACTTCCTCACATAATAAAAAACGTTTATGAAAACCCACAGCTAAGATCATACTCATTGGTGAAAATTGAAAACTTTCCTCCTAAGATCAGGTACAAAATAAGGATGCCCACTCTCACCACTGCTGTTTAACATTGTACTAGAAGTTGTCGCCAGAGCAGTTAGACAAGAAAAAGAAATTAAAGCCATCTAAATTGGAAAGGAAAAAATAAACCTATCTCTATTTACAAATGACATGATCCTGTACATAGGAAATCCCAAAGAATTCACAAGAAAGGTACTAGAACTAATAAATTAATTCAGCAAAGTTTTAGGATAAAACCTCCACACACAAAAATCATTTGCATTGCTATACACCAGCTGTGAATAATCCAAAAAGGAAATTAAGATATCTATTAAAATATCATCTAATAGAGTAAAATACCCAGGAATAAATTTAACAAAAGAAATTCAAGACTTGTACACTAACAAGTACAAGACATTGCTGAAAAATTAAGACCTAAATAACAGGAAATCCATCCCCATGTTCAAGGATAGGAATATTTAATAATTTTAAGATGTCAGTACTTGCAAAATGATCTACATATTCAGTGCAATCCCTAACAAAATGTCAGCAGACTTTTTTGCAGATATGAAAAAGTCCTCAAATTCATATGTGGTTGCAAAGGGCCTCAAATAGTCAAAACAATCTTGAAGAAAGAATGGTAAAGTTGAGGGATTCACATTTCCCAATTTCAAAACATAGTACAAAACTACAGTTATCAAAACATTGTGACATACGTATAAGGATAAACATATAGACCAATGTAATAAAACTGAGAGTTCAGAAATAAAACCATACATCGATAGCCAATTGATTTTGACAAGGGTGCCAAATCCATCTAAAGGAGAAAGAATAGTCTCTTCAACAGATGGTATAGGGACAACTGCTTTTCACATTGCAAAAGTATGAGATTGGACCCCAATCTCACACCATATACAAAAGTTAATTCAAAATGTTATCAGTGACCTAAATATAAAAGCTAAAACCGTAAAACATGTAGGAGAAAAACATAGGGGTAAATCTTCATGACCTTGGATTTGATAGTGGATTCTTAGATAATGATATTAAAATCATGAGCAACAAGAAAAATAATAGGTAAGTTGGACTTCATTAAAATTTAAAACGTTTTTGCATGAAAAGACATTATTAAGACTACTTATAGAATTGAAGAAAATATTTATAAATCATAGTCTGATAAGGGCTTACTATCCAAAATATATAAAGAACTCCTACAACTCAACAATACAAAGACAACCCAATTAAAAAATGGTCAGAAAACTTGAATAACATTTCTCCAGTGAACTTACACAAGTGCACTACCAGCACATGAAAAGATGCTCAACATCATTAGTCATTAGGAAAAAGCAAATCAAAACTACACCCACTAGGATGGCTATAAAAAACAAACAAAATGGAAAATAACAAATGTTAGTGAAGATTTAGAGAAACTGGAGCCCTGGTACACTGCAGTTGGGAATGTGAAATGATACAGCTGCTGTGGAAAACAGTTTGGTGGTTCTTCAAAAATCTAAGCATAGAATTACCATACAATCCAGCAATTCCACTCCTAAGTATATGCTTGAAAGAATTGAAAACTGGAACTTAAACAGATACTTGTATGTCACTTCACTGTTATTTATAATAGCCAAAAAGGTGGAAACAACCTAAATCAACAAATGAATGGATGAACAAAATGTAGTACATATATATATATATATATGTATATATATAATGGAATATTATTCACTCATAAAAAGGAATGAAGTTATGGTACAATAAAGATGAACCTTGAAAACACATTAATTGATTATGTTTAATTATTAATAATTAATAACTAAACATTATTAAATGAAATAAGCCAGACACAAAAGGACAAATATTGTATGATTCTGCATATATTAAGCAATCTAGAATAGGTAAATTCAAAAGGACAAAAAGTAGACTAGAGGTTACCAGGGGTGTTGGGTGAAGGGGTAGGAATGAGGAGTTATTCTTAATGGTTACAGAGTTTGTGGTGAGTTGTGGAAATAGTGATGACGGTAGCACAACATTGTGAACGTAATTAATACCACTGAATTATACACTTAAAAGTAGTTAAAATCATAAATTTTACGTTATATTTATTTTACTGCAGTTTTAAAAAAATGTATTAGGCCTGTAAGATCTGCACGTAATCTGAGTATACTCAGTCTATCTTCCTTCTCCATCCAAGTAATACTTTAAAAGTTGGCTGGTAGCTGCAATGATAATACTTGGATGATAGATAAATTGCATAATTGTACTTATAAAATAAAGTGGATTCAAGTAAAAAGGAAGCAAGGCTTAGTAAATTCTTAAGTTAAATCAGAATATCATGATAATCTGGTACAGTAGTTGTATTCTTTCACTCATTATATAATAAGAAATTGCTATTTCTACCATCTGATAAATAGAAGAATTGTACTTAGTGGTTGGCATCATTCTTTTCGGATGAAAACAGCCTGATTCATTGTTGGCTAAGATTCGTTGAATATACTATTTGGAATTGTAACTGTTACTATCTACTCAAACTCTTCAAATTTACTAAGTCAATTTTTATTACAAAGATATGCTTCCATTCAGTCTTTTTCTTCAACATTTTATTTTGAGATATTTTAAAAACCATGGGAAAGTTGAAAAAGTATTACAATTTATACCATATGTCATTCATTGGATTCACTAGTTAATATTTTGCTATATTTGCTTGATCTTTTCTTTTTTCCTTTGTGAACCATTTTTAAGTAGTTGCAGATACCATGGCACTTCATCTCCACATATATTGACATGCATCTTCTAAGAATAAGGACATGTCTACATACCACAATATCATTTTCAACCTAATAAAATTAGTATTTCTATAAATAACATCTAATATCTGTTCCAAACTCAGATTTTTCCTATTAAAAGTTTTTTATAGCTCCCAACCTTGGAATCTAGTCAAGGGAATCTAGTCAATGCTATCTTTAGTCTCTTTCTTTTCCATGAAATTCTGTTTCATTTTTTTAAAATTGTAATAGAATATTATAAGATGGAAAAATAGAATTAGTTATATGACAAAAATCATTTTTACCATAAGCATGTGGAGTCATTGTGAATTACATTTCGAAATACTTTATTCATTCAGAAACTTTATAAATGGGATTATTTCAAAGTAGAAATAATACTCTGTAGGCTAACATTTCTCAATCTTTATTAATCTTATTGGATAAAGTGAAACTAAAGTTTTTAAAACTTAAAAAAATCTACTCTCTTTTAATGTTATTTGAAAGTGCAAAGTCTTATAGTCAAATAAAATTTTAAAATGTTTTAAAGCAAGCCTTTATAAACTACATTTGTCCTTCTGGGAATTAACACACTTCCTTTTATCTCCTTTGAAGTTAACTACTACATTATATGAAGCATAGGTAATAGAAAAATGTTTCAGAAATATGGAGATTTAGATACAATTATGCTAGAAATTATCCATATTCATAAACTGATGAAAATATTATTAGACAGTAAATCAGGGGTTAGCAAACTGTAGTCTATGGCCATATCCTGCCTGCTGCCTATTTTTGTATATCCACAGCTGGATTTTTATATTTTTCAATGGTTAAAAATAACCAAAAGAACAATATTTCGTGTTGTAAAAATCTTGTGAATTTTAGTATCTGTACATAAGTTTTATTAGAACATTACCATACCTATTTGTTGATTGTCGATATATTGCCTGTGGCTGCTTTTGTGCCACAATTGCAGGTATTACGTGGTTTACAAAGCTTAAAATATTACTCTCTGACTCTTAAAAAAAAAAATTTGCCAACCTCTGTTCTAAAGCAATAACAAATTAATAGCTTTTCCTTTTCCCATATTATACAGTGACAAGTTGTATTATGTTTGTAAAAGGAAATTATAGCCTAATAACCAAATTATGCTTTCTTTTCTAAGATTGAAGACCCATTAGCAATTCTTATTCTCTTTGATGAAGCCAGATATAATTTATTGAAGGGCTTTTATACAGCTCCTGATGCCAAACTGATAAC